ATAACTTAGGTAAACAAAACATATTTAACTAAATGGGTATATAACTTTGTGTCTAAGTAGAAACTTTTTGGAAATGATTACTCAGTTACCCAATGTTTTGTATTCATCGAGTGCACTTTAATATTGCATTTCTGCGAAACTTTTAAGAGAAGGTCGTCGCTAGTTATCTGTGCGCAGGCGCACCCAATGGCCGCTGATCCGCTACATACATACATGTGAAAAATCTGGCACGAAAATTTGCCTCTACATTACCGGTGAACCAACACGCACTAGCAATTCGTATATGTAAAGTGCAGCAAAAGAAGCAATGTAATTCTATCTCGTAATCTTTTCATTATAAAGGTTGAGTCGTGCGAATGCAGCCTTAACCCCGATCTTAGGGCCGGACATGCCGCGCATAAATGCAACAGCTCCACTGCGGTTCGCAGTCCACTGCGGGGTTTCTTCATGCAACTGGAAAGTGAACCTATTGCAGAAAGTCAATGTAAGCGCGGAAGGACACGGCGCGTCCCGCAAAGCTGCGAGGCGCGGCACGGCGCGGCGTGGGAACGTGACTCACCGGAAGTGCTACGAATGCCGCTACGCTCGGCCTACAAAAGCAAATCGTCGCGAAATGCCTGCGAGATGATCTAAGCCTCCGTTAGGGCGGGTCACCGACCGATGGCGTGTTTGTAAACAGAGCGCGTCTCCCTTTGCGGTCGACCGTCCACCGTCAAAATGTCGGCTCGCTGCGGCCCTTGCTATGCTTCACATATAAATTATTACAGAATTCGTTTGCTGCAACTGAATACGAACCACGGCATTTTGCAGACCTAGATAATATTTGAAGTTAGACTCTTGGACTAGGGCCATTTCAGCCCCACATAATTAAGGCTCCGCTTGCGCAAGACGGTGCAAGTAACGCGCGCCACTCTACGTCATTGTCACCTACCACTGACGTCCGCCAGCCGGAGACATATTTGTACAAGGTGTGCCAACAATACGACATACAGTTCCTAGATTTATTGCCGCAAGCGCTAAGAGCAAACACGAGCGGTTACGCACTGTAGCGAGCGTCAGTCGGACGCGCGGAGCGAACAGGATCTTTATGGAGCAAACGACAATGTGTTTCAATATTATGTTATTTACAAAGTATGTTAAATGTTATACAAATACATAGTGAGGTCTGAATTTGTATTGGGACTGCGTAATTGGCTTATTACATTTAGCAAGTCAGCGGAGCGCAGTTGCCGCACCCACGATGTGTCCGTGTGTGCGCCCCGCGCCGCACGCCCGCCATCGCCACCGCACGCGCCTTAAGTGAGCATAATTTAACGCCTTTTTGGATAGTAATGAACAATAAATGTAAGACATTGACGCAAGGACGTCGATAACGGGGGGTGAGGTTAAAGAAAAACCTGCTGGGCTCTCGCTGCAACAGTTTTTTTAATAAACTTTGAATTAGTGTTTATTGTCTTATAAATATTAGGTAAGGATTTTTAATATTATGATGACGTAGAAAGCACCTTTGCAAAGTTTTCTGTCAAACAATACATTTGTCATAAGTATATACATACTCAAACTCTCAGACCATTTGACCTGAGACGCGGCTCACCGCTCGTGTTCCCTTTCCAATGTAACAATAGCGGCCGAAATACTCTACACCTATTATGTTTCAAGAGATACGTGCACGGCGTACAGAGAGCCGGCGCAGCTCTACGTGACCCGCCGCACGATTTTCTTGAGAAGGCACAACAGTTTTTTGTATAGATAAGGCTATGGGCCTTAGCGTCAACTGCCTTTCCGAGTTTTTGCTCACCCCTATCTTTACACTTAATGGCCGACAACCTTCTATAATGACACATGGACTAGGTATCCTTGTATGTTCCCAGCCGTTTTAGTGTCTATCTTTAAATTAGTAACACGGTATATCTCACTTCGGTATTTACTGATGTTGTCGTATTCATTGTACAATTCTCTACATAGCGTGCTAACTGCAAATTGAATCAATTAGAGTGCGTTAGTCTATTAGTCATTGCTGATGTGTCTTCCCAGTGTTCCTGGTAGAAGAGATTGCAGGGCAATGAGTGGTGACTCAGCTGAGACCTCTCCCGACTCGGGGTGGCTTATTGCCGCTGTGTCACTGTCGGATGGCGCGGCACGCACCCCACTCAGCAATCACCGAGCTCAATTGATCGTACGCCTCACTACTCATCGCGTACCTCGAACACTTAATAAAATTCGTAGAGAACGTATATTCAGATATAGAGCTAGCAAGCTACCATATGGTAGTAAGTCGGTGATTCTCGAAATTTTGTTTTGCATACTAACTAGCACGTGCCGCTTGAGTCAGTGCGTGTAAACCCGCACACTTTAGATGTACGATTTGTCACCAATTACCATCACTTGATGGAAATATTATTTTAAAAATCACAAAATTAGTTGTTATAAACTAGGACTTAAATGCACTACCAGTTTGATCTTATCATAGTTAATCAACTTGTAACTTGTCGCGGGCAAAGTCTATTACAAGTTTTCTGGTTTATGTAAATGTAAAAAGCGCTGATCATTCTAACATCAAGAAAATTATTTATCCTGTAATAAGTAGTGGCTCATCAAACATGAAAATAGAACTTCCAGGAAAGGTAAATGTATATTTTAAACATTGTCCTACTAATATAGTATTGAAAACTATGGTAATATTGCGTATTTTGTGGTAAACCCTTTTATAATGGATAATTACACTTACATCATAGTTGTAGCCTAATTTATTTTTTTATCAACCTGCTTTAAATCGGTATACAATAAAAATGTCACATGCATAAAAACCGATAGAAGCCGTATAGATCCTACAATGAGCGGTGGCTGGCGTCAGTATATTCTGACTCAGAGTCGGATAACTTTCTTCTACTAATTAAGTAACACATATTGTACACGATGTAATCCTATACATTCGTTACAGACAACTTAATGACTCACGCATACCTATCTAGGGGATAAGGCTTTGCAGTTAATTAAATTAACATTTAGAACATTAGCGAAATGTACTCGTGAGCGTTATCTAGTTTAGGTCGTTATCCCTGCTGATAATATAGACTAGGTCTAAGAGGAATTAATATGGTCTTATGTGTAGTAATTTACCGTATTATGATTCTCTAGGAGCCCACATCCCATGGCGACAGCCAAGACTCTACTTAAAATATTAAACATTTTTTAAAAACTTGCTTCACCAATTAAATGTTTTAATGGCCGCTAAAAACGGGACTGGAGAAAAATGTACCGAGAATCACACCACCGGAAACGCCGAAATTTTGATTCATCCAGAGTGGACGCGGACATGTGGAAATAAAAAAAATGTATTGGTTGTCAGTAGGTATAGACCTACAATATGAAATTATTTGTTATTATAAAGTAAACTATTAGAATTAACAAGCTAAAATAAACTATATTCGATAGACATAGGGGACTATATTTACGTAAATTGTTTAACTATTTTATTACATTACTTTTTACATAGTTTCGTGGTAGAATTACGCAGTGTGTGATTCGTTATACATGGTATGTGGTCATGGTACAATGGTACGTGGTAACATAGACTAGGATTACGTGGCAGATATTAATTAGCATGCGACGGCAAACGGCAGCCCTCGCCGATGACGCGGCTGCCGCGACTAGCGGTCTGACAAGACACCATATTGCTGGCCATGACGTGTCGCCTTCATATACACCTGAATGATGAACCTTTCGTTACTCTTATTGCTCTTAATGTTGAATATTAGTTTATGATTGCACAATATAAATGTTTTTTAATGTATTTATCCTATAAAATAGGTAAAATATTATGAAATCCAAAGACGCAATACTTAGACAATAGAGATTGCTCTGAAGAAATCCAATGTTCCAAATACAGCCAAACATTTGAAGTAGTATACGTTTGTGTATTTACAAATTTCATACGTTGAATTCATCACCATCAGCCCGTGTTTGTAAATTTCTGTATGTTAAATAGTATTACAAATTTTCATGGATGTAAATTTTGAATTCTTTAACGGAAATTAATTTTAATTTGTCCAACTAGAATGCGGGATTTTATTAAGTTATCAGCGACATTTTTGTAGCCTCACTTGTCACAGACAGGCGACTTGAAAGGTGAACTACGGATATATAGTCGACAAATTATTAATTTCATGGCATTACTTAATTTAGTTAGTTTAACTTCTGCACAAGCACAATCATTCTAACAGATGTATTTTGTTTTACTCTTCTTAACAAATCTCAAATAAATTTGTCAATACAATTTTTTTTATCAAATTGGTACATACAACAAAAGTTAGAATTTCATAACATAATATTAGTAGAACAAAAAAAATATAATTGTATGGAAATGCCGATAGTTAAGCGGCACGCGAGGGGATTCCGCGTCGGCGGCTGGCGGCGCGTGCGCGGGGCGGCCGTACAGCAGTAGGCACGCGCGGCTTGCGCGGGAAATCCACGGGTTTCGCGCCAACACGCCGCCTCCGCCGCTGACAAGTCTGACACAATCACAGGTGACACAGATTGAGAAAAATCATAGAAACTTACGCGTGGTCAGTACCGCGCACAGGTGTGACGCGCCTCGTTGTTGTGCAATAATATGACATAAAAAGCAGATAATCCAAACGGAATAACTACAGACGCAAGCAGAAAACGATAAATTCCACCTCTATACTTACCATGATGCGGGAAACACAACCAATAACTCGATAGTTAACGCTGTAATAGATACGTTGCATCATAGCAAAACTAACTTTACAAATAATTTATCTGAATATATTGTTCGGTCTGTAACAAGTTAAACATAGATATATAGATTTAAACATCAAATTTGTTGCCTTAAAATGGACATATGATGTAATTCAACTATTGGTAGTAGGTTTATTTAATATTGCAGAGTTTGAAAATTAACTAGAGGTAAAATTACAGACCCTGTGTTGTGGAATGTTTAGCTGAAGATAAGGTAATCATTAAAAAAACTAATTATGTGAATCATTATAAAAGTTTAATTTAAGTACGTATTACACGATTTATTTTAGTTATAACTACAGTTACATTACAACCTCACGTCTTTATTTCTTAACATGTAAAGCTTAAATGTATTTGTGCGTTTAGGAACTTAAATATAAATATAATACTACTTTTGTTAGGCATTTCCCTTCGTCAGATTGTTCACAATTGCTGTTCTGGTCCGTTTATTTGACGTAAATAGTTTTGGATATGCAGACTATTAATTGTCAAGTTGTGCAGGTGTCATGGGAATAATTGTAATCTGGATTATGACTCATTGTCAACAAAAGTTGTAAAGACTGAAGTGAATGAGTTCGGAAGAGGGCGGAGATCGAGGGCGCGGGCGAGGGTGCGGGCGAGGGCGAGGGCGGGTGGAGTCAGGGAGCGCACGTGAAGAGCTCGTACTCGCGCACGGTGAAGTTGTAATCCGGAGCGAGGGAGGGCGGGGGCGCGGCGAGGGCTGCGGGGGGCGCGGGGGCGGCGTCCCCGTACGAGTGCAGGTTGCTGTAGCTGTCGCTGTTGGCGTTGCACTGGTGCGACACCAGCAGGTCCGCGCCCGCGCCGAAGATGGGCCCGCAGCTAGACACACATATTGTTAGTAGTCACATTCGCAAAGTTTATATTAGAAATTGTGTCTCGTCGTCGTTGTGTACTCACTCCGGGTGGTGGCAGAGCGCGAAGGGCTTCTTGACGAGGGGGTAGCGCGCGGGGGGCTCGGAGAGAGAGAAAAGCAGCGCGCGCTCGGCGGACACGTAGCCCCCGGCGCCCCCCGCGCCCGCCGCCGCCCAGCCCGCCTCGCAGTACCCGCCGATCACCTCGCCGCGCTGCAGCTGCACAGACCATACGTCAGAGCTGTGTCAGAGCTGTGTCAGTGCAGGCCCGCAGGCCGGAGGCGATCGCCCACCTGCACCAGCAGCAGCACGGGCGCGACGCCGTCGCAGTGCGCGTGGAAGGCGTGCGCGGAGAATGCGTGCGCGGAGGCACGGAACACCAGCCGCCACGACTGCTTGGGGCTGCCGCACCTGCACACATACATACAAATACTCTTTCATTCACATTATGTATTGCGATTGCTACTTGAAAAGAGCTTCATTAGCTACAAGTCTAATTTAACCAGATATTATACGTGATATCGGCAATGATAGCAGCAGAACACTGACCAGGTATTGATGAGGGACTGGAAGGCGCACTTGTCCTGCTGCAGGATCGCCGAGCCCGCGAACAGGTTAACCGCCAGCCTACAACACGCAACATGGGTCTTATTGAAATGTCCACGAAGCAACTCTCGCACACGGAGGAGGGTGCAGTGACCTGGGCTGGGTGCGCTTGTCGGGGTCGGGGCGCGGCGCGGGGCGGGGCGCGGAGTGCAGCGCGGCGCGCCGGTACCGCTCCAGCGACAGCTCCATCGGCACCGCGCCCGTCGGCTCCACCTCTTCCGCGAACACCGCGCTGTCTGTAAACATTCGCCCAGTCAGCAGTCGGTACTCAGCAGATGAGCCAAGTGGCCGGTGTTTGTGTGGGACGTGTACCGATGAGCAGCAGGCGCACATGCTGCATGAGCGGCGCCAGGTGGTGGCAGACGCGCGCGCGCTCCTCCTCCGCCCAGTGCGCGGTGGGCTGCGTCACGCCGGCGCGCTGCTTGGCCCACGCTAGAACGCAACGCCACACCTCCTCCTCCTCCAGGCACAGCTGCACACCACGCATAAACATATGCGCACGTTTGGACACGATGTAATTCTCATTACGTGTAATTAGTAATTTTATATGTTAAACTTGAAAATAAATATCATAAATGTTTACTAAAAGCGCCTTTAAAATTATATTAGCAATCATTTACAGACAGACTCAACTAAAGGAGTCCATATTAATAAAGGTAACTTTGCTATAGCTTTATGCACCTTGGCCAAACCCTACTCGTATTTCAAACCATGTAATATAGCGCAGTTAATTAATAGACGTACAAAGTCTGACGAGATGAGTTTGATGAGCGCCTCCTTGGGCAGGTTGAGGAAGGCGTTAGTCTTGACGCAGTCGGCCGCGTTATCGCCGATGAACGCGATGCAGCGCTCCATAAAGGAGGAAGCGCTCTTGCCGCCTGGAACGACGAAGACAATGCACATTTTAAAAAGTTTCATATTGTTTTGAGTTTTTAAAACAGCACATTCGACTGCCAAGAGGCTCGTGTTGAAACATATTATTTTTCAGACAATGCTAAAAGAAAGAACCAGATACAAGCTTAGTAAGATTATTGTGTGTTACTATACCTAATGTAACATTTTTTACATCGAGCTAGTTCCTCTCTGAAATATTTAATTAGAATATTAGAATTTTTTTTTTTAAATTTGTCAAATATTTTTCACAAGTAGAATAGCTTAATTATTTTTCCATGCGAGTGTTTAATTATTTTTATTGCATATAAAACTGGCACACAAGTATAATATATGGATGGTAGCAGTTAAAAATATAATTTAACAAAAAACTATGTAAACTATGTAATGTGGCAAACGAGCAAGCTGCCTCATGAATCCGCCAAAATGGCGAAGCGAACGCTGCCCATAGACATCCGCAATTGCAGATGTGTTGTCTACCCTTATCCGACGGAGGAGGAGACGCACATAAAAAGGATATTGCCCCTTCCTCTGCATCTCCTCCTCCGTTAAATCCACTTCCCTTTCCCATCCTCTCCTTATAAGAAAAGGGAGGTAAAGAGAAAGGGACTTAAATGATGGCTGTCCTGCTAGTGACTGGCAACAATTAGTGAAAAAAAATCAATGTTCACCCACAATCCACATCCAGCAACTACTTACGGTGAGTTTCTAATGTAAATAGAGATATCACTGCCAACTGTAGAGTAAATATTATCAGTTCAATATAGGGGCTCGGAGCCTATCATAAATTAGTAAAGACTAGGCCTCAGACAACCACGCTGGCCCAATGCTGGCCAAATGCAAAAAAAAATAAAAAGTGGTTAACTATAAACATGACTGTATGTCTACATAAATATATACAGAATGTCTTCCTTCACCCTAAGAAAATCAGATAAATGTGCAAATGAAAATGGAAACACATTGGTAGATGGCAGGATCTAAACCAAATACCTGGAGATAACAAGCCAAGTTCTAAACCCCTGAGCCACTGATGCTCACTAAATATTGCAACGCTTAAATAAGCACATTGCAAACCACTCAGTTCACATTGTTTCAATCCAGCGATCATGAATATTGCTGGACTGGGATAACTTAAACCAAGCATTAGGATACAGTCTACAGAATAAACATTTTCTAGGTTTATTTTTGTTTTGTGACATTTTGTAGTATAGTTATTTATTAAATGTACTTAGACTCAATTAATTCAGTTTGGTTTAATATAAAATATTAAACCAAACAAGTAAACATGAGGTTTATAATTCATTGACAAACTGACATCTAAAGGTACAAACAGAAAAATATTGTTTTTAAATTTAGAGCTAAAATAGCATTTTTATGTTTGGGTTAATCAAATGAAAGTCGTATTGCAAATCTTAGTTTAATGAGGAAACCTGCAGTGTTCAGAACTCACATATAATACCCCACTTGGGTACACAATTTCCTTACAATTCACTTATTGTCTAGGAATGTTCACTTAGTTGGTAATATAACCTACAGTCGTGTTCACACAGACGCGTTAGGATTCACATTCTGAATTAACGTAATATTATCTCCTTTCATCATAATCCTTCCGATTTGTTTCCTATTTTTCGTCTTCATATGAACTTCTTCGGCGTCGTCCAACACAATGTTCATATACTCATCAAATCCCACGATGTGCCCTTCAATTCTTAGGTTTACGTTTTCGTATAACCAGATTTGTACCCGGCTTCTATTTTGTAAATATCTAAATATTAGGTTGATGGGTTGTACCATAACCTTTTGTACCTTCGGTGGGCCTTTGTATGCCATTTTAATTTCTTTATTTGCGTTTAATTTACACAACTAAATAATACCGCTAAAAACCGGGAAATTTTAGCGTCCGTCAAAAATGGAAGCCAAATTACATAGACAACAAGTTTTTGTCTGTGAAACATAGATTATCCTTAGGCAACAGGTTATTAATACAATCATTACTGAATTTTCGGAATCGTATATAATTTCTTATTTTATAATATAGCATTCAGAAAACTCTTATTCGCCCAGTCTATTTGTTTCTAATAATTTTCTAATTAAATGGATATGAATATGACAGCGCTCACCAAAATAATAGCGCCACTCTCGCCGAGTCAAATTATATAGTGGAAGAACTATAAATGTAATATAGTACTGAAAAAGCCAATTAAAAAATAAGTTTTAACATACTTCATAATATAAAAGTTTTTCGTGTTCACCAAGATATGTCGACATATGCATATGTTCGATATTTAAACTTTCATGGGTCTGTGGACGTGACCCGTGTTTAACAATCTGTCAACGTTAAATGTCAATCTGTCAAACCAAAAAAACAACAATGTCTGAAGAGGATGAAACTTGGGCTGCTGATAGAAAAAATAAAGATTTGCGGATGTTTCCAAGTTGTTCAAGTTTTGAAATATCAGATCCGCATGACCCTGTTCTAAGCCGTTTAGCAACGCAGATGTTTAAGCGCACAAATGACTATCTACAAGGAGAAATGACTGGTGGTCAGGACCATTATGTTCTTTTGGAAGAAATTAATAGAATGGTGATAACTAAATATGCAGATCTTCGATCCCTGGCAGTAAATCTGACAAAGTCAATCAATGAGAGCAACGAAAAATATGAAACTGAAATAAAGCCATTATTGCAGCACATTGAAGACATAGACAATGAAATGTCTGTACTTGAGGCCACAGCTTTTCGTTTGGACAGCTATACTAAGCAGCTTTTAGCACGTTTTGTTGAACTTCTGGACGTTGATAACAACAGCAATGAAAAGTAATTTTTGTATTGATATACTGATTTAATATTTTATTACAACACTATTATACTTAAGTTTAATTAAATATGAAGTTGTCTTTGCAATTTTAAACCATCATTTTGTAAATCAATTGTTATTCTGTTGTTAAATAAACACAATGTGATTACAAAATGATAACACTCTTAATTCTCTTCTGCGTAACAATTGTATTGTTAAAATTTAATGCAAATGTCAACTTCATAATTCTAATTTAAGTAATGTTTGTTCTTGTTTTAGGTTTAGCAATAGCTAGTGTTTGTGCAATTTATTGTTTTAATCAATAATTAAATATTGAAATTATAAGAAATATGCTTTATATGTTGTCCGTACAATTAATGTTGCAAAATTTTGTTTTATTTTCCTATTTTTTCATAATTATTTACACTATTTTCTACTTTAGCACATATAGTTACAAACTTATTAAATTTTAAGACTTGCATGATAGCAATAATATGTAAAAGCCAATATGTAGTTTTGTTAGTTACAAAATTTTAGTTACAAAGTTACAAAGTTTGGCAGTCATCAAGTGTAAAAATAATTCATCGAGATTTTCAACAAAAAGGTGTGCGATGGCCGGGAATCGAACCCGGATCAACTGCTTGGAAGGCAACTATGCTGACCATTACACCACCATCGCCCCTGACTACACACGATTAAAAATAAATTAGTTAGTTAAATGACTCACCAGGTCTATCTTGAATATCCATAGCAGCAGCCAGAAGCGTGCACGCACTCTCCACACTTAGTGTAGACGTGACGTGGTCTTCGCAAGCAGAGCGCAGATCCTCCACGCCCAAGTCGGCGGCCAGCGTCATCATCTCAAACACTCCGGAGTCTTGCAACAGAAGCTAAGAAAATGTGCAATAAAACCGATTACCTTTTCATGTTAAAAGATATTGTTTATATTCAATTAAAAAAAGATACTAAGAAATAAATACCGCCATCTATTGTTGAATCTAAAAAACTTGAAAGTTAGCAACTATGCTTCTAGAAGAGATTTAGTAAAGTTATCAACAGATGGCAGTATTATAAAAATTAACAACACGCGAAAAAACTAAGGATATTTTAATTTACCAATGAAGTATTTAAATTAAGGTGAACAATAAGTTAAACGGCAAAAATATTGATTTTACAGACCTTGCCCGTGTAAACGTATTGAATGAAAAGCCGGAATGTTTCAGGCTGCACATGCGGCATGCGGATGGGTGTTGGTTGAGCACCAACAGATGGCGACACGGTGCACCCAGGAATTCGACAAATTTCTCCGCGTTTCGTGTTTTGAAAACTTTTACACCTGTATTTGATAAATATAATATTAACGTTTCTATAATGGCGGATCTCTTGAAAAGCTTGTCATAGAAAAGGCTTCTGTGGAAAGAACCTTTCTTGTTTGCAGATTTCAATATATCAAGTACGAGCGGCGCGCAGCTGTAATTAAAAACCAATAATGTACCGAGGAATTTATAAGTGCACTCTTTAAGAGGGCATCTTCGTTGGTAAAACTTTTCTTGAACTCAGGGTTGCTAGTTGCGGAAAATAAACAATGTGTAAATTTCTTTCATTTATCTAAACTAAATGCTTAGTTTAAACATTAAGTGAGCGTGTTTGGTCCGCACTTATTTAGCCAGGAATTATCAATATTATACATATTGTAATTTTTTAGTGCTATGAGTAATATGTATGTACAAATATCCATCAAAACTTGTATTAAAAGTATTAGTACGATATTATTTTGCAATATTATTGACATCCCTATAGTGCAGTGAGACGGGCTGCAAGATATTAGCGATGTTGGCGTTAGAGGCGCCCTCTGCGCCACCTAGTGCCGCCTAAATATATTAAACTTTCTCCGATACGCTAATAAATTCGCTCATCCTGTTTGCTATGCAAATACGTTTTTAATGACCACTTAATAACTGATCTTTTAAGTTTAAAGAGGTAAGTTTTACGTCTAAGAATATAAAATAAGTATTTGCAACTATATAAAACGTTAGCTTAGGAAATATGACTGTCTGTAGCTACTTACTGATTTTTTTAATACGAGTAATAAAACGGAATATTGAAAGATGTGTCCGCGGGCGCCGGGAGCGGTATCCAATAACCCGGTCCGGCGCCGGCCGACAATATCATAGTTCACAACGCGTGGACAATATTTGCCTGAAGGCAAAAGGTCTCAATATCGCCACCGCTGCCGCGGGGTCCGCTTCCCATCGGCAATGTGCTTTGTCGCCAATACCTTTCACTTGATCAGTAAATACTTCATATTTCTTATAAATATGTCTTGGTGTAGATCTAATGTGTATGATGTGAGTTAATTTATTTCCTGACAATTTTGAACAGCAAGATATTTGGTAGAGTTTGGCCTACATTCTGACAATGCTATTAATCAATGTTATTACCAAAATGTAATTAATTCGCAGGCGACGCCTCATCTCGTCCGATTGCGCGGGAAAATTTGAGCAAGATCATTAATCTTGGGCGGCTGTTTCCTTCGAGACTGATTTGGTATTGTAATCGTTGTTGGCTGTACGTAGCTTACAGTATAGCACAATAAGTTTTATGTTTTGCCAATATCGTGTTCTTCATCACTGAGTAATTAGAACTTTGCAATCGAAACTCCTAGCGCCAATGGGTACAGTGGCAGAAAGTATAACTTTGGTTAATTTCTATAAGTTGTATGTAACACTGGCTGTTTTGAAACACTAAAGTTCAAATAATGAGACGTCAATGTCCTTAAGCATTTAAACTTTTAAGACAATTTCATAACTACTGATTTATTTGTTAAGGTTACGACCTTATGGTTCTCTCATGAAATATAAAATATGAGGAATGTAATTTGGTTAAAAATATGTAAACGAAGTAGGATGGAAGCGCTCTAATACAGTTTGTATCGGTGCTGGGTGCGCGGGGTGCGCGGGGTGCGCGGGGCCGCCATGATGGATGGAGCTCGCTGACAGCACGCAAGTGTCGCCTGTGATTGATATTGACTGTGGTTAATGCTATTCTTAAATTGTGTGGGAAAATGTAAATACGTTATTAGATGAGAAAACATTCTGTTGCTGATCTCTCAGTTGGCCCTACTTTCACAGAACCTTACAGAGTTATAGAGGAGATAGTTAATGTAGTTCAAACATTATGGTTTAGTTTTATGTAAATTGCTTTTTAAACTTTGGACGTCAGTTGTTTTGCCGATGGTTGAGCGCTGTCAGCTTCAGCCGGAAGTATTTCGGGGTGCGGGGTGTGCGGGTCGTGCGGGGTGTGCTGTGTGTGGGGTGCGCGGGGTGTGCCGTGGCGTGCGGCGCGCGACCGCATCATCAATCATGGCCGCCGCTGCACCAAATTATGTTTGAGCTTCTTTGAGCGATCACGTTTAGCGTTTACACAACTTGATTGATAAACAAGCTTTTCTACTTAAATTAATTTTCTTTCAAGTTAATTAGAACACAACATTTATATCGATAATAGACAATAGTGTCGCTAGTTAAACGATATCTACGATTTTATAAATGTAAATTGTCAATGAAAATTTAAAAAAAAATTTGAAAAAAAAATCCATTGGTAAATTTGTTCATAATATCGATTCAATAGTAATAGATACGTTTACAGTTTATAATAAGTTATGAAAATATGTCATCAAGCTTCAGAAAAATAATAATTTGTGATCCAAGAAAATATGAGTTTCAAGGAATCTAATTTTTCATGACTGCACGTGACACGTTACTCTAAATTCTAAAAACATTTCAACTTTATAATTAAGGCATGAATTCACATAAACTTTGTGGTAAACATTCATGTTCTCATTAGGGAATTCCGACGGTTAATATGGTAAACGCTACATATTGTAAACTTCGATAATTCGATTGCATTTGTGTTCACATGCCCGCATTTATGCTACTTTTCTATTATTTATACAGATCGTGTAAATTATAAAACCGCAAACATTATCTCCTTTCAATAGTAACATTAACTACAAAAATCTGTCACTTTTTGTTTGTATTTGTTGGTAAAAGATACAATATAAAAATTGTACATGGCGCGTTACAGAATATATCGCTCTTGTTATAACAATGAACTAGTTAAAAGTAAACGTAGGCCAAACAGTGGTAGTGCCCGCTTTAACATCTTAGCACGAATGGGCCGGCACGCCCGCTGTAATACCACGACCATACAGAAGACAGGCGTGAAATGGAAGCAATTCCGTGTTTCGTCTGATGCGTGTGGTGCCGGAGGCCTAATTTAAGTCCCTTTCTCCTTACCACCCTCTTCTTACAAGGAGGGGTTGGGAAGGGAAGGTGGATTTGACAGTGGAGGAGATGTACAGGAAGGGGCAATATCCTCTTTATGTGCGTCTCCTCCTCCGTCGTATAAGGATAGGCAACGCATCTGCAATTGCGGATGTCTATGGGCAGCGGTCGCTTCGCCATTTTGGCGGATTCTAGTGGCCGCTTGCTCGTTTGTCACCTTATGTTATAAAAAAAAAAAACATTTGTTAAAGTTGTCGTGCAGTGGTGGATCCACTTATATTGACCTATATTCCTACTTCATGTTTAAGCATTAAAATAAAATAAAACAGCAATAGAATTTCTGTTTGTTCTCACATGTACATATCTGTTCGTTTAGTCGAAGTGGGGAGACGAAAAATTTCCAAGATGTATAAAATAAGAAGCAAAATTCAATATTCACGTTGACTACTTCAGTTATCAGTTCTTCAGAAGCGAAAGTATTTACATTATGCGGTTATTATATGTTTTTTTATTGTTATTATATTTCTACATAAACGACTCTAGTTGTCGCTTCTCAATAAAAATATACGATGAAGGGATGTGCGTCAATAGCTTGTAATGTAAATGACAGTTGTAGGCAGAGACATAACATGTCCGAGTTCCTCAGTAGAGGGCGGCGACGGTAATTCAGCACTATTCAGCCGTTTCTGTACGGGGCAAATTACAGACATCGCGGCTATCGTCTAATGATACCGCTGTGACCGACACCTCTGACAACATTACAGCTGTCTACTGCAACGTTAAATTCATAAGGGATCAGCATATTAATTGTTAAATAGTGTATTGTTTTTTCATGTTCATATACAATGTCCCATGCTCTTGGCACGATTCTTTACTATGTTTTACAATTTGTTCTGTCATTAAGACTTTTTATTATTAAATCGGAACAGTAAAACTCATTTACAATGTAAATTATTCAAACACAGCTAGAGGTAGGGAATACATACAGTTTTCAATTAATGCGAGTGACAAACAATGGCCGCCGTCCTTGTCACACTCCAAACTAAAGCGGTGCGGAACTGGAAATAATTACACTTGCGGAAATTGAAATATGTTTTGTAGAGCAAAAAGAAGTTAACCAGTGAACGCGACGCGACGCTCCGGCAAACGAGAAAAGTTCCAGAGTGTGGAGTGCCGACATTCGCACGACTATTCCATTGTTTTTCAATCAGTATGTAGGGCTGTATTTATTATTTTTACACAGATAAAAACTTATTTTTCAAAAATGATTCGTTTGCACTTACTTACATTTTACTTTTCCGATGCTGAGCAAAGATTATAATGTGTTTTAGATCCTACATTTTTGATCTAAGAAATAAAGCAAAAAAAAACATTTTCATAAAAGAAAACATTGATAATTGCAACGGATTTCTAATAATAAATATAGTGCAATTTATGTTAGGTTCTCGTTTCCCTGCCAACGCAAACACGAACAAAACGGCGGAGTCGCAGAGTTAGTGTCGGGAACAGCAACAATGGCGCCGCGACGTCGAAAACATGCAACAATTCCAATTCAATTACAACATTCATTGTGCAACAGCGAACGGATGTCGCAAAAAGCGCGCGAAAACACGTGGCATTGCGTTAGAGAATTTCTTAATGACTTACCCTTGCTTATCATTCTAGAAATCTATGTATTTGCATTACTTTTGCATAGATTTATCTGGTCAGCTATAGTTAATTTACTTTTATGTTTTTAATTTGCTTTACATTAATTCATTTGAAGTCTACTGGACAAAACTTTAAGAACTTTTGTTAGAGCCCAGAACAACGACATCTGTTGACGAACAGCAAAAACAATCTACTCCGGAGTAGTTAAATATTAAATACCTCGAAGAAAACTGGCTTCTAATAGAATAGAATAGAAAAATCTGTGCGAGACTATAATAATCCTTTCGTTTAGTTCCTTTCTTTCTTTTGTTTACTCCTTGGTCGTAGTCGTATTCAATTTGTAATGCGAGGCGACCCCCACCCGCCTTTTAATTGTTTTCAAGTTGAATCTAATCAGGCGAGGCTCAAGGGGAACAAATCGGAGTTCTGAATTACGTGACGTTGTATCTGTACGACTAAGGATTACCTGTTTAATATATGTTTGAATTAATATTAATATTACGTATTTCTAATTTTATTTACTACATTTTAATCTATCAATTACAATGATGTTTTACAGCAAAGCAGCTTTTTCTGCTTTTAAATAGTTTTAAGTCTAAACAGTGTTAATTTAAGCAAGTTTTTCACTGAAACAAATCCTTCAAAAGAGTTATGTGTATGGAAATAGTAGGAACTTCCCCGCGACATGTGCCGTGGGAGGGAAAGCTTCGGCGACGATGCGAAAAAATTAAGTCGATCCAAGTTTTGCCGAAAGTTGACCGGCTCTACCAGCCTAAAGTTTATTGAATTAAAACAAAGCACTGGAAATCGTTCTGAAGAGAATACTAGCGATATTCTGTGGTACATTTATACATTTTTCAAATAAATAACTTTTAAAGATTTGTTTTAAATAGGAAGTGGGATTTGATAATAGATGGCGCTGATTTAAATAGAGAATTTTGATGCTTCAAGTTTGAAATGAATTTTGGCGTAATGAGGAAAGAAGGTTATTGATGTAGAAGGTAAACAATACAGCATCAGCGGCAGCGCGACCGAGGCTGCGGGGGAGGGGGTGCTGGGGCTGATTGATGCGTGAAGTTACGCCGCAACACAACTTTCCCGCCATTAATCTTTGGCGCGGCGATAAGCGCGCCTTCATAAAACTTATTAATGTTCTACGTTGTTGCATTAATTACTACCAAGTTTTTCAACTAATTTTCCAGTTGCCAAGTTTTTCTGCTAATTACTTTTTCTACATCTTCGTATACGTTCACTATTCCCTGTGTCTGACGGAGGTATACTACTCTGAAAAATTATATCCGATAATTAGTATTTTCTAAACAAATATGTAAAAAAGTTATAATAAAAAAAATTGTTTTTGCATTTGCTAATACAAAAACAATTACGTAACGAAAGCATTAGGATAATAAATATGTATCCGAAAAATACTGTGACTAACGCCATCTAGTAAGTCAAATTGATAACATTCTTCAAAGATATCACCAAAAGCCCTCGCGTGATTTTAAATTTAAAAACTTGCGCTCAAATTAGAATTTATGATGTAATGATGAATATTAATTCACAAATTACTCCTTTTACGCCGTCAGGTAGTCAAGCGTTGCTTCATTGGGTAATTACGGGGATTTGACGTACAAGCCTTATAAAATGATAATTTGCATTTGAAAAGTCTGCCAAGGTAAATTTATGTGCATTCATAAAGCGAGATAATTTCTTTGCTCGAATTTCTAAGTAAATAGTTAATTGATTTAAGAGATATGAAAATGCTATAAAATAAGACAATTATTTCGTCTCGCGAAAGATAACATATCAGAGGTATGTTATCTTTCGCGACTTTTATCTGAAAAATTAAATGCTTTCATCTTTTGTTGGGACTGCAATTAAGCAGAATAAAAATATATTTATTTTTAACAATAATAAAACATTATTTTTGTACAAAATTAGATACTGATAAGTCAATAGATTATTTTCATCTTATTAAACATCTCCCGTATGGTCTAGTGGCTAGGATACCTGGCTTTCACCCAGGAGGCTCGGGTTCGATTCCCGGTACGGGAAAATCTTTTTGCACATTTTTTTATTGCAACAAAATTAAAGTTCCTTGAACCGCTATGTTGTTTTGTTTGAGTCACGATATGTAGCTATAAATTTTTAATGATAGAAAACTTACCTAGCAAATAATATTATTTTATGGGCATAAACTTTTTCTTCTGAAGTGCCTAGAATGAAGACGACGTCAGCGGAGTCCTGGTCGTCAGCGAGGCGCTGCAGGTCTCGCAGCAGGCCGGGCAGCCCCGCGCGCTCCGCTGCTGCCGCCGCCGCCGTGCCGCAGCCGCTCGCCACTCGGCTCGCCATCGCCATCACACACTTATGATTTACTTAATCTTAAAACAGTGCTATTTCTGACAGTGTTAGCAACCACTGTTATTAAAGTTTCAAAACTATGTAAACATTTACCGCGTTTGATTTATCACTTACACTAAATGAAAACTTTCAAAACAGATGTGCTCTCACGCAGTTCAATACACAAAAATTCACTGCTCAAATAAGTAAAACGCCAAATAAATACCACTTTCGTAAGCTTAGCTTAGCTCCTAACTTATAAACATAACCTCAAAACGTACGAGAGCTTTGCTCTGAAATAACTCGGAAACAACACAAGACGTTTTTCTACAACCGTGTTGTATAGATTCTTCTGAGATTTAAAAGGCTTTATGTGTTATTTCTTTACACGGCATTTCTGTGTCTTTAGCTCCGGATCGGTCATAAAGGTTCGAAACAGGTTTGTTTTGCTTCTCAGGTAAAATGGGTTTAGCAATACACCTCTCCTTGTCTTTCAAGTTTTGTTATAATACTCCTTGTTTTCAATTATTAATTTTCGAGAGACACCGCACGTGCCTCCGTGGCGCAATTGGCTAGCGCGTTCGGCTGTTAACCGAAAGGTTGGTGGTTCGAGCCCACCCGGGGGCGATTGTTTTTTTGTCAAAAATGCTCAAACGTAACCAACACTTTAAATAAAACTGTCTTCTTTTTTTCTCCTCCACCATCGTTAGAATTGCGTCATTTGGTTTTGTTATATCTCATTGGCCTGGTTAATGTACAATAATTCATCCGTGCGTCTAAATAAACGATACATGATTAATTTGCTTACATTGAGTTTTGATGCAGTGTTCTAACCTTAGAGTGCCCACATGTCGGTACATCGTATTTAGTTATTTAGTATACAAATTGGAATGTTATTTTCATACTTTTGTTACTTTCACAATCTAGATTAGCAGAAAAAAGTATTTTTTAACAATTTTCCAATTAAGTTTCTTCCAAATGTAAACAATGTTAGAATAATAGTTTTCTAGTGTGCAATTCGTGTACCTATATTGTTGGCGCTAGTGTTGAGTACTGACTGACAGTTCGGAAATTGGCGGCCGGCAGCTGTCAGCGCACGACCATAGTATACGATTAGACACATCGTGGTCGGCATTGAACGCGCAGCTCGCAAATAACTCGGGACGGCCGGCGATTACACATGGGTAACACAACTAAAATTAATGACCTGCAGATCAGCTTATCGTTAGCCTGGGTGAAGCTGATCAACGAACTGGCTCGCATATCAGCTCAATTTGTACTTGCATAGATATATGATCACCGTGAGTTGCAAGTCACTGCCTCGGCGGCACCCGTGAGTTGCTAATTTTGTTGTTGAGCCGTAGATCAATGATTCTTGGGTATTTAGATGAGCTGATCTATTAAACCACGTTATTCTACACACGTCTTCATGCGGAGCAACTGCGAGTATCCGAACGTTGCGGCCGCGCTGACACTGAATGCTGGCGACAGCCCACCACAGCTGCTGCACATTCCCGCCAGTTCTGATGTTTCTTTGGTAACAGACGATAGATTGAGTTATTATATTCGTTTGTTATAACGATGCAAGACTCAAAAAAAGTAATAAAAAACGTTAAAATTCTATTTAAAAAAGCGACGATCAAGCAACAGTTCACGTCATTTAAAATGACAGGCAAGTTAGAGACGCAAAGCAATCATTGTTTTTTTATTGCTAGCTTCTTATACTTTAACGAAAAAACATTCCATAGTATCTGTCCGTAACGTAGACGATAAAAACGACTGAAGCAAGAAGAGGCAGTGTGAGGCGAGAATTAACTGCTTTTAGATCTGAAACACAATCGACAATCATAATTTAGTCGGTGTGTTTATTTGTTCAGATGTGTTTATTGGCGGGTAACGGCCTCGTCGACAGCAATATCGCCCCGCACTCGGCCCCCGCCCCCCGCCCCCTCTGTGTTCACTTTGCTTGTCTATGTTCGTGCTTAGTGTTCGCTGGAATGGAAACACAGAGAAATTAGGACCACAATAATTCTTGGCTTTGTTTTCGTGTAGAGATACCATCAATTATGTATTTCTGAGATATGGTTTAATTTGTATCAATTGTTTGAACTATAAGAACAGCTGTGGATGCTCAAGTTTTATTTCAGTCAGTTTAGTTTTTGTCAGAGAATCGAGTGGCCACATCTTGATATTCGATATGACTTTTACCGATTCAACGCGTAGAAGGGTTATGTCGTGAAACCGAGAGGACTTACACCACATTATGTATCACGTATGTACAGTACAAGTCCTGATTTCTACGCGGCACGACCTTGTCCCCCTCGCCTTGCTCTGTTCTAGGGCAATCTAAACTGCCTGCATGACGTATAGATGGCCAGTTGATTGCTGTATTTTTATTGGAGTGTATTTATGAGTTTCAAGGTTATTTGTCTGTGGGTGTCTCGGGGGGGGGGACGAAGGGGAGGGTTTGAAGTGAATTATAGTGTAAGCAGTCCGCAGCCGCCGGCGCAGCGCCTTTCCTAACATTGTTTTGATTTTGTACAATTTATAACATAATTTAATGGTTGTAGATAAATTAACATCAATGTATGTATACAGTATACATTGATAAGGCAAGTTAATTTGGTGAATATGTTTATAATAATATATAAAGATTACAATAACCAGATGTAATTAAACAGTAGCCTTTATAATTAACTTTTATATTGCAACTTTGAAACCCCTATTTAATTCTAATGGTTATTAACTAAGAAATAGTTTGTTCGTTCTCGATATTCGTCAGCGGAAACGCAGTTACACAGAGTGTATTTATTATCATAAAGCTGGACATCGCGACATTAAATTCGTTATGTAAACAGCGCTGATTAGATCAATCAGTGTCAGGGCCCGGTGCGCTTCTGTGTACAGTCACCTTCCTTTGATATGTTATATTATAAATACGAAATACATATAAATGAATATTGAGAACTACAAATTTTGTTGAAGAAAATTTGCAGATGTTTTTATGTGTAGTCAATACCAATTCGCATTACACTAGCGTGGTTAGCTAGGACCTAGTCACACTATCTTGAAGTAGGCCCGAGCCTATTTGTAACCAATTATGACAGCTTCTTTGCAAAAAGACGAGGTTAGGTTCCCTGTGAAGTGGAGGGCAATTTGTAAATAGATCACCGCGTGCGAAGGTGACTGTACATACATGTGTATGTATCGTTCGATATATTTACTGATGATAATTCCTGTACTCAATAGAAGGATTATTTCCTTTCTGGCGACGTATCGCCGTGTTTACTTACACGTGTACTTTTTGATAAGGACACAGATTGGAGGTATCTGTGCGTATCTTTTTTATTTGTTTATCGCGTTTCGTACCGGACATGGACTGGAATTTTGTAACTTAATATTGGTTATTTTGATACTTCGTGTATATTTAGATGAGACAAAATGTTGAAGTTGTACATTGAAAGTAATCTGTTCTATAATTTACATTAAGTTATTAAATATAATTGAAATTTTAATTATCCATTTTAGAGTACGCGCGTAAGTTGTAAATTATACTTGATTTGTAAATAATATAGTAGAATTTACAAGTAAGTTTTAAACATGAATGTTAGATGATTTTATCGTATAAATAAGTGTATCGAAAAGTCATCGAATAGTTCGTTATAACTTGTTATTATAAGTTACTCTTATAGTAGGTAACAGATAAGACGCGTACCTTATCTGAGAGGGCGCTGATAAAATACCGTCGTAAATCATACATCGTTGTTAGCAAACATTCCTATCATATAACACGTGTAACAATAATAACTGTTTGATTGATAATAATCCATGTTTTGAGCTACCTAATATATTCGTAATAAAAAGAGATTTCCTACGCACATGGCCTTAATAGAATCGTGTGTGGATTTAAATTTTCTATTGTTTGACTGAATAAAAAAAAAGAATTATCAAAATCGGTCCACTAGCGGCGGAGTTATGCCGTAACGCACATAAAAAAAACATACAGACAAATTGAGTACCTCCTTCTTTTGGGAAGTCGGTCAAAAATAATACAAAGGTCTTTACTTGCACTACTAAGTCACCTATTATTAGTACAATTTAGACGAAAATGTATAAAGTTGCAAGCGAATTCAACCTATATGGGTTTGATATCTATTTCAAAGAGATATAATAAGATTATTAGTACTCGCGCGACCTCTTCCGTGTCCGCTGCCGCTTGTCACAAAGGCACCAATTGTAACTTTTCAAACGGAATGACACGACGAGACACAGTGCGACACAGTGCGACACGGCGGTACTAGCGATCGCGACTCGCGACGCTTACACACTTCAGCGTGTCCTGGCTTACCTTGCACACAGCACTGCACACTCTCACAGAAGTGACACCTATTTATTTTTTATTAAATTTCGCTTAATTTAATTAATCCCATGATTTCTATTCTGGTAAATTTCTAGAAGCATATCTATCTCTAAGGAGCCGTTGCGACCATGAGTCAATCACATATTTAAGGCTCAGAAGTCGACGATACGTCATTTTTGAATCAGGTCGTTACGACCTTTCTCGTTTATTTTTTTATTAAACGCGACTTTTATTAACTAACATATGACTACATAGCTGACCACGATCAAAGCACGTAAGTTTGCTTCAATCTTTTAAAGACAATAAAAATGATGTCAGCTCTACAAATTGCAACACCGTGTGCAGTCTCACGAGTTGGGGCCTCTTCCCTTTGAGGCGCAGATCAAAGCACACGCGCTTCTATTAGCCCTGATTACAGCGCGCACTCGGCCTCCGCCCCCGGCGCTCCGCCCGCGCTCCCGTCACCTCGCCGCAGCCCGCATTGTCTCCGGCCGTCGCCGCGGCAAGAAGCTGTAGTGTCATCGGCAGTTTAATTAGCCATCCCGTCACATAGTGCGCGCCGCCCGAGCCGCGCCCGACCGCCCGACCGCCCGACACTCACTATCGCAAACTACAGCTTCGCGGATTTTTTTAAAACCCGCCATCGGGCCTCGAGGAGGCTTGTTTTTGCATAACAAAGCTTTGACTTAATTAATCGTTCACGTTTGAGGGCATCCACTGATGTTTTCGAGTTTTCCTTTTGTGTACACAAGTCTGTATGTAGCGGGACATACATAATCTCCGCTCTATACGACACAAGCTTACCTACTTGTCAGTTGTCAAGGATGATCTTACATGCACGGTATCTATAAAATAAGTAAGTTGCTGTGTAGTTTGCACATTCTGTAGCGTATTATGTATTTTAGACATTAAGTCAAATCAGCAAAGTCAATTTTAATTACGAATCTGCTTTAGTTACATGACCGTCAGTGGCGTTGGTGGTGTAATGGTCAGCATAGTTGCCTTCCAAGCAGTTGATCCGGGTTCGATTCCCGGCCAACGCACACTTTTTGTAAAAAAA